TAGTCTCATTGATTTTGGAAAGGTAAATTTTATATATTATTTAAAAATTAAATTTACAAGTATACTCTTATTTCTATTATTTATTTATTTTTTGATGCTAGAAATGTAAGATACATAACCTATAGAAATCAAATTTGCGATGAATTTGTATATGAGAATCTTTTTTATTTAGAATGACTTGAAATGTGAGATTTTTCAAACATTTCAAAATGAATACAAAAATAACTTGAAATATGAGATTCTCTAGATTCTTCAAACGTTTCAAAAGGGGTACAAAAAAATTTTAGTAAACTTTGGACAAATGTATAATTTCAGACTATAAGACTTCAGTATAGCACTCAAACGTAACACTTCAAAAAAATTCGTTAGTGTAACATTCTAATGTAACACAAAAAAAATTCCTTGGTATATTTTTCCCAAACGTAACACTCCTATGTAATACTTCAAAAAATAAAGATGTGGGATTCTTCAAACTATTCTAAAAAGAGTACAAAAATTATTTAATAAGTTTTGGACAAATGTATAATTTCAAATGGTGAGTGCTACATTTGAAAAAAAGAACATTAATTTTTTTTTTAGTATTTTTGTGTATGTTCAATTAGAGTGTTAAGTTTTAGATTACATTGGTTGGAGTGTTGCATTTAAGAAAAGTGTACTAAGAAATATTTTGTGTGTTATATTAGAGTATTATGTTTAAACAAAATACACTAAAGATTTTTTTTTTTTTGAAAGTGTTACATTGTTATGTTTAGAAAAAATATACTAAGAAATTTTTTAGTGTATTACATTAAAATGTTACATTATTGTCATGTTACATTGGAGTGCTACGTTATTATTCGTAACGTGAGATTTACTCCAAAAGAAGGGAAAATCTAAAATTTTAATAGTACAGATTGCCAAAATGTGTAATTTTACATTTGAAGAAACCTATTCAGTGTGTTTGGTTTGAGTTTTCTGGATTAAGTTTTTTGAAAACTGAGTTTTTTAGTTTTCGTATTTTTTTTTTGTTTTTAGTGAATATTTTTAAGATTTTAAACATTTGTTTTATTTTTTTAGATGCACCTTACTTAAATGTATCTAAAAAGTAAAAAATTTATGAAAAAATATGTTAAAAAATTAATAAATACATTGAAATACAAAAAATGTACTGAATTTTTATATTTTTTTTTATATTTTTGGTATTTAGTGAATTTTTAAAATATTTTTTTTACATTTTTTTTTTACTTTTTAGGTGTATTTATGTTAGATGTGTTTAAAAAATAAAAAAATTACTTAAAATATTAAAAAAATTCAATCACGGAAAATAAGAAAGTAGAATTTTTTGAAAAGTGTTTTTGAAAAAATAGAACCAAGCATTTTATTTCTCAAAAATTAAATCCAAATGTATAAGTGACTGTTTTTTTGTGTAATTTCTAATTTAATGAGACTTTGGATTCATGAGGGAAAAAAAAAGAATGACAAAACAATTCACAAAATTATATTTTGAAATTTATTAATATTTTACCCTTTAAAAAGTGTCAATCTAAGTATAGATAATTTTCGCATAATAAAACATAGATATGGGACGAATAATAAATTTTTGGATACTCAGTCCATAAATCTACACCACAATTTTATTTTATCAAAAGTCTAATCGTTACAATATTTTGCCCACAAGGATAAATTTAAACAAAATGGCCAAAATACCCTTACATAAATCATATAATTGTCCACGAGGTAGGTATGAGCGATCTTGTACTTTCCTCGGCTTCGTCGGAGATCAGGTTGTCCAAATCTTATTGTCCTCGTCATCTGTAAGTTCGCCGGTGCCGTCAAAATCACTGTCGACAGTCTCCTGCTCCTGATTCGGTCCTCCACTGCCTTCAACAATCTCTTTCCAAACCTCATCGACAGTCTTGTTCCCCACAGTCTTGGGCAAAGTCTAGCTGCTTTGCCTCAAAAGGGAGGCGACGCAGCCAGTATCACCGTCGTTGACGGCGGAGACGAAGGAAGGAAATGAGTCGAAGTCGCCGTAGATGTTCTTGAGGAGTTCGTCCATGTTCATGGAACCAAAGCTCTTGCTCTAATCGCCCTGGAGGTAAGCGACTGTGAGGGACTGTATAGACGACTGGCGTGGCATATTCGGATTCGTTGGTGACGTAGACGCCATCACCTTCAACAACGCCATACCCCCGAATTCCGAGGCATTCTCCATTTTTTTATTTTATTTTACCATCTCTCTCTCTACACGACACATATAGTTGTAATTAGGGGTGTGCGCGGTGCAGGTCGGTGCGGTTTGAGAGAAAAATAGAAACCGTATGGCGGAGGGAATTAAATAAAATTATATTTGTTTTGATGATTGTTATTAGTATAGGAATTGTTAAATTATTTTTGTATAAAATAATAAAATAAATAAAAAAATATAAAAAATTAAACATTAATATTTAAAAAAAATACTCAATATATAAAAAATAATAAAAAATAAAAAAATTTCTAATCCCCTCACTATTTTTCTAATACCATTTCTACATCCTCCTTCTCAATCCCCCTTCTAAGGCCTTTACTAATACTAAGGGATTAGGAGTCCCCTCCCCATCTCTGAAAACAAACACCCTATATAGTAGTCTCACATCACTATCAATCCCAATCTCTTCCTTATAACCCCAAACAAACGGGCCTTAGTATTTTATCAATTGTTGTTGTTTTGTTGATGATGACAATAGATGAAAAAAACTTTTTTTTAACACAAACAGATTATTTTTAACAAATAGTCGATGGTGGTGTTTGGCAGAGCTTATTTTTAATTTATTTAAGTTTTTAGATTAATTTAAATTATTTTGGTGTATTTAGTTCAGTTTTATAATACAGATTATAGCTTTTGGTAAGTCAAAAATTAATTTTTTCTTTGAGTGGGAGAAGAGAAGCTTTTTCTTTTAGTTTAATCGCGCAGTAGCCATTTGAAGGACAAAATGACTTAAATGTCTCTCGCAATTTCAAGTTATTACAAGCATGCCACGTATATAAACCAAACACACTCATTTTTGTCTCTCACATGAACTAGAAAGGCGATTTCCGACGAATGGAAACAATTTTCGATGAAGTGAGATGAATTCTGGTTCTCTTTTTCTCTCTCTCTCTCTTCCTCTCTTACGAACCAGTGCTCTCCTTCTCTCTCACATTCATGAACCAAAGCTCTCTTCTCTCTCTCTCTCTTCGCGATCAAGCTTCCGTGTTTGCGATCTGAGGGACGAAACCCTAACTATAGCAATTTGAAACCCTAGAGTCACGATCGACTGCGTAACGATTGACAGTGACGATCAACCATCCGTCATCGTCCCCCATCGCCATTGTGCCTTCGACGGTGATGATCAACGATCAACGTTGTAGTAACCCATTGTTGAGCTTCTCTCTCTCTCTCTCTTACGATCTGAAACCACATCATGATCTGAAAAATGGTGATGATGATGATGACAATCGATAGTGTAACGATTGATGGCGTGGCGATCTTGCAGACCACCGACGGTGGCTAGGGTTTTGCAATTTATATCCATTAAATAAATTGCAAAATTTATTTCACAATTAATATTTATATAAATTGCATAATTTATTTCAATTAATATTGATATAAAGTTATTTCAATTAAATAACTTCTATTAAAAGAATATATTGATATAAAATTCTTTGGTATTGCAATAAAAAAAAAATCAATTGTTGCTAATTGATATTAATAAAAAAAATGAAATAACTTTTATTAAATGAAATAAAAAAAATGAAATAAACTTAGTCATTAATGAAATAAATTTTATATTAATTGATACTAATTAATAATTTTAGTATTAATGAAATAAATTAAGCCATTAATTGACACTAATTAATTTATAATGAAAAAATAAAATAATTTTTTACTAATTGATACCATTAATGAAAATAATAATTTTTGTAATACTAATTATATTAATTTTTATTAAGGAAATAATTTTTTAAAAATTAAAACTGAAAAAAAATGACAAAATAATCATTTTTATATCATATAAGGGCAAAAATGATAATTACACAATAAAAAGTTATTTTACAGCTTATTAACTAAACACTATTCTGGTACTTAAATTCATAATCTCACAGCTGCATCAAACAGATTAACAGCTTATGTTTACAATTATACGCTATAATTTATAATCACTTTTCTACTACTCTACCAAATGGGGCTGATAATGTGGGAATATTTGTTGTTGTTGGTGGTGGTGTTGTTGAATATACAGGTTCAAAAAACTTAATAATTTGACAAATAATTTCAACAAATAAAAATTCCAGTAAATAGAAATTCCAACAGATAGAATTTTGGAAAAAAAAATTGGACAAATAGATAGACTTTAGGGAAGAAAATGAACAGATAGATAGAATTTAAACAGATATTTGAACAGATAAAGGAAAATTTTGAACAAATAAAACAATTCAAGAAGTAGGAAAAAAAAATTGAACTGACAGTCAACAGATAAAAAGGATAAAGTTAAAAATAAAATGTTGGAAACGACTTCTCACCAAATTATTTTGCAGGGTTGAACATGAGTTTATTCGAGTTGGGCTGATTCGGTTTTAAAGAATGATGGGTTGGGCTCTAAGGCCTCGTTTGGGAACCTTCATTTTTAGTAAAAAATTCAAAAAGTTACTAAATTAGCTAAAAAGTCAACAATCCATACCAAAAAGTCAAAGATTCTCTTTTCTCTCTATTTTTTACACATTTTTTCGTAAAAAGCCAAAACGTTATTTCAAACATATTAATTTTTTTAGCTCATATTTTAATTAAATAGTCAAAAAATTACTAAATTAACCTGTTTCTAAAGTAGGGCTAAGTTTGAAAATATGATTAGGCTTAAATCTAACCAAACCAAACAATAATGGACCTAAACCCATCCATATTCCATAGGCTGTGATCGAGTGGTCTCGTGGCCATCTTAGTAACAGTAGGCTTGCATTGCCAGTGCCACTATGGATAAGACTGCGAACTAGAGAGAGAGAGGGAGAGAGAGGGCAGTGGGTTGGTTTGGCAATGGCATCGACCGCAGCGAGTGTATCATGGAGTTGTTCGTCATGGCTTCACAGTCGTCATTTAGGTAAGCACAATGGCGAAACCACAAGAGTCTCAGACAGAAGCTCAGTCATGGTGATAGTCGCTCAAAAGAAAGCCAAGAAGACACGAAAGGTATATACGCAAAATTTGAAGTGGGTTTATCTTAATTTCGCTCACATTCGTGTTTGTTCATCAACATTCTGAATTCTATTTCATCTGTTTGTGGTGAGTGTGTGTCAGATAATTCTGAAGGAGGACGTAGTGGACTTGGGAAAGAAAGGACAGCTCTTGGATGTCAAAGCTGGATTTTACAGGAATTATCTATTTCCAATGGGCAAAGCCCAGATTGTCACTCCTGTTCTTCTCAAGTAATTTACATTTGAACCATCTTTTACAAAATTGTGTTGATTTTACATTCTTGTTATGGGTCAATTTGTTCTCCAAGAATAACTCTTGTGAATTTGAAGTGTAGTTATTTAGGGGGATGATTAGAGGAACAGTGGGTTTTTTTTTTTTGTTGCTTTGTTTGATGGGTCAATATGTTTTTTATTTTTCATGCAAGTAAACTGTTTGTTGAAATGTTTGTGAGGGGCTTAGTTGTTGAGAGTTGTTCAATTGCTATATTAGTTGGTCTTGAAAGGGAGCTTGGTGGGTATTTGTGTAGTTCATTGAAATGTTAATTGTTAAAAATTAAGTTATAAGTTATAAGGAAACCAACCACAACCAGCGCCCCCCACCCCCCACTCAACCTCCTATCCAACTGTATTGAAATGATGGACTACTTTGCTATTTTGGAGTGGATGAAATCTTACCCGGATTTGCAATAGGCGATCTCAATTTGTAGGCTGGTTTGCAGAAGTGTTATATATTTGGCTGCTGTATGGTGTTACCATTCTGTGTGTTTAAAAAAACAAAGGATCACTTCAATAAATCATTTTACTAGGAAAAGGAAAAATTACTTTAGCTCTGTATGCATAATAATAGGCTTTTTGATTTGAAAATAGTTGGAATTAAGCCTTTATTATGATACGTATAGTTGGATTTATTCTGAAAACCACAGCCTAGGAATAATAATTGCATTCCTACTAGATGTCTTGGCCTCCCTTATATCCTCTTGTGACAACAAATAGCTGTTCAGCTTATGCGCGCCCTCTTTAGTTTCCCATCATTGGTTCCATGGTCTCATAGTGAATGGAAACCCTGTAGGGCATTAGAAATGACCATCAATCCCTTGTGTTCTGCTTTCATTTGAATCATCAGGCACTTTGTCAAGGATCACTAGCATAAGTGAGAGAAAAATGGAAGGAAACGATAGAAGCTCACACATTTAAAACTATTACCTGATATGTACCATACTAAATAAAGGGGGCTAATTTTTCTTGTGTTTTCTTGTGGTATCATTACTTACTATGCATCCAAAAGACTATATTTTCGTTTTTGCAATAGCACTATTGTATTACATCAAACTACTAAAGGTTTTCCAAACCATTTTTCCCATGACATGATTTTTGTATGAATGATGATTAACAAGGATGCTTCTGTGCTTGTGTTTTCCTTTGGGAAATTTATCCATCTCAGGCACTATTTTTTGTCATTGTCTGAGGTTGTGTCATTTGTATCCATGCTAGAGAATGAAATCATGCTGGTGTTACTAGGTTGCAATACAAATTCTAAATGCTTCAATTTTTTATGAAAAGTTCATTCTTTACAGGTAATTTGGAAACAATACTGTTGCATAATAAGGGATGGAACAGTGTGGATATGCATACAGCCTTATGATTAAACTGAAAGATCTTGCACAGAATGAGAACGGATATTGAACAATAAATGCCTTATGCGCTTATTATGCTGTTGGAAGATATTTATTTGGATCAAGTGTTCATTCAATTTCTTGATTCTTTTCTTCTAGGGAAATGCGGATGGAAGAAGAGAGAATAGAAGCTGAGAAAAAACGGGTAATGAAATACTACATGGATTTATGGGTTACATGTGCCCAGTTACTTTCCTTCTTCCCCAAAAAAGAAAATGACATTACGTTTATTGAGTTTATTATGTGATATGATGTTGTATGGCCACAAATAAATCTGGAAATTGCCTAGTGTACAGAGGTTGCACTACTTTTGGCGCTTTTAGTGGATATTTTTTTGTCATTTCTAAAAGAGAAAAAGAAAATGTAAATCTGCATTTATTTTGGTTAACTTGAGTGACCTTTCAGTTGTAGACTTGTACAATATTACTTTATTTTGGGTTTACATAGTCAGGCTTGTAGTTATCATCACAAAGTTATTTAAAGCGCATAAATGGCATATATATGATGTGATAGAGAAATGTAGTATACCATTCCATATCCTGTCAAATATCCAAGTAAAATGGCCTTAATAATATAATATGAAGGAACATATTGATGGCTCCTTCCCTGTATACATGACCTTTAATTAAAAAAGTGTACTTTTTGAGTTTTTACTACGGGAAAGTTGTGCTTCTTCTTCTCAGGTCTTTGAGTGCATTCTAGTACTTGTTTGGCAGACAGATCTATTCCTTTTCCACACCTACATGATGAGCATATTTTGTTACACAAACAAGAACTCATGTGGAATTCCAATAAAGTGGCATTCTCCTTTTTTTTCTTCTTTTTTTTTTTTCTTTTAATCTTTATCATGTTTTAGTAAAACTATTTTCTTATGTAATGTTCTTCTTCTTCTCCTTCAATATATATATATATATATATGAATTCGCTTTTTGGATGTCTGCCTGAAGGATTGTTTTGTGTCTCAATTCTCATTGAAAACAGAATGCAGTATTTTGGCTTCTTTGTGTAGTCTACATGCTGCTCCAAATGTTCTGTTGTTTGTCTTTTTTGTTGGAACCCTTTGTAAATGGTTCTGTTGAATAGATTGAACTTAGATATCATCCTATATGCAGGTAAAAGAAGAGGCACAGCAACTTGCTTTAATTTTTGAAACTGTTGGCGCATTCAAGGTGAAGCGCAAGGGTGGGAAAGGAAAACTAATCTTTGGCTCGTGAGTTTCATATTTATCACAATGCTGAGCAGTTAGTTTTTCGATTATTTGGATATCATTTCTGAAATATGCTTATTTTGGCAGTGTTACTGCTCAAGATCTTGTTGACATAATCAAGGCACAGCTTCAGAGGTATTGTCTTCCAAGCTATACAGACCTCAGATATTTGTTAGTGCTACAAGGCTTGTAAATTATTTGTATATTACCAATAAACGCATTGCCTTCTTTTTTGTTGTGTATGTGCCAGTTTTTTTGTGAAACATTTAGGAATGTTATAAAATGTTGATACAATTTTAGGGAGTAATCCATCTACCTGATCTTCAGCCAGCGATGAGTCTGCACCTTCCAAAGCCTCACTCATTTTCTCTCTTTCAGCCTGCAGTTTAGGATCGGCAACTCACTTACCTTTTCTTTCCTATTTTTGTGTTCCCCCTCCCCCTCAGTTATGATTATCTCTGAAAGACGTGGTATTCCTGCGTTGCTTTCACATTTAAACATGATCAAATGGGCGCATAAGCATATAACCCTTCCATCTTCATTTTGGCGCATATGAAGGAAAAAATAAACAGACCAAATCGTGACAAAAAATAGAGAAAAAACCAAATAAAAGACTTGCTCCCAATAAAAAAATTCATTATATCTGTTGATTTGCTGATGTTAATATATAATAAACAAATATAGTTTTTTTGTCATGTCAATACCATTCATGTCCGACACTTTTTTGAAAATTTTCAAGTCTGTGTCCGTGTCGTGTCACATCTGTATTTTGTGTCCATATTCGTGCTTCTTAGATTTGAACTTATCATGATGTGTTAAACAATGTTGTTGTTTTGTATTCATTTAGGATTTCATGGACATGGAAGATAATATAGAATTTATACGCCAATTAATGCGATGTCCCATGCATCTGCCCATTTAGACCAGTTCACTTAGCAGCCAAGAGCTGGATAAGGATTGTTGAATAGTCCTAGTATTATGTACTTGAATCTTGGACCTTTAGTAGTCAGTTGACTTTGTTTTCGCAGTCATCATCGTATTTGGCCCATGCATTGGGTCATAATCTGCACAATCAGTAAAATGTTAGTTCTCTCCTGTTATTTGGATTTTATATTGATACTTATTAGTTATTTTCTGCTATATCTTAAGGGAAGTGGACAAACGAATTGTTTCTCTACCAGAGATCCGGGAAACAGGGGAATATATTGCAGAGCTGAAGCTTCACCCCGAAGTCACTGCTCGAGTAAGATTGAATGTTTTTGCCAACTAAGGACAGGCACCTTCTGAAGCACACTCTGATGGAAAATTTGGTTAAATGGTTCTAACATGCAAGGTAAACAATCATATGGTTAGGGGAAATGAAGTTTATAATAATTTCATAACTCGGTTAATGGTGAAAGCCTTCTGATCCTCAGTTGCCTGATAGTCACGTTGTTGGATTTAAAAGAGTCATGTCTTTTGCAGTAAAATTTTTCTTTATATTTTGAATGCATGGAGTTGTGCATGCTAAATACTTTTCTTCATGGTTTTGCCTCAGGAGCGGAGACTGTCAAGGCGTTATTAAATTTATACATATGCTTGCTACGGGACATCAAATGTGTTAGTTGTGAAGTCATCCCCAACATGTCAGTTTTGCTCTTGGTTTGTTAATTCTGCCTCATCATCTACTGATTATTGTTGTCTCTGGTAGGTAATACTCTGTAGCATACCCTTTATTTTTTATATTTGGAAATTTAATGCCTTTTTGATAATAGAGTGCCAGAGGGAATGAAATCACTAAAATCAGTGAAGGATCAATCTGATTTGATGGTTTTTTGTATTTTTTTGTGTGCGCTTGCTCTGCTTAAGGGTGTTTTACAGTTCATGAAGGCCTTAAATTGTAAGCCTCTATTTGCTTAAAAACAAAAATGATTTTAACTTCTGTATTAATCAATAGCATTAAAATTTTAAAACAACCACCAAAAGCTAAATAACCAGAAATCCAAAATTCAATATCAACAATTCGAAAATAACATTAAAAATGCTAAATATCTTGCCTACCACAAAAAAGAAGTATTAATCAGTTGAGTTGAACATCCAGAATTCAAAAGCTAAGTGTTGAATATCATGTTAGTGTAGTTGTACTCTAGTAGCTGCTATGCAAGTGGTAAGGTCTTACAATGCAACCTATCACAAAAATTAAAAATACATAAATAGTGAGCAGCCACAATACCAAACAAAACAACCAATTTTGATCGAATGGTTTGTGTCACGACCCCATTCCGCCTCTAGTAGAATGGTGTCATGATGTCCAGTAATCCGAGATTACCAAAGGCCAACTTACAAGAGGTCACACAGAATCAGAGTATACATGTGGGGCTTACATGTGCGGAAGCAATAAACTTAAATCTAAATAGTCCATAAGAGCTGTGCATAGATCAAATGAAATGACATACATCATGACATGGCTTACAACTTGGATACAAATAAAATAAAGTACATATTACATCTTGATCAAAAGGCTTCTCAAGCTGAAATATACAAAAAACATGAATTACAAACTGATAAGCATAATCTTCAAGATGCTAGCAAAACATGAATCCAAAATAACTTGCAAATGACATCTAGGCGTCACCGCCTTCTTGCTCGTCACATACATATATATAAGGAGATGGTAAGCTTGGATACTCAGTGAATGATATTAGTAATAAATGTTTGAATGAATGATATTCGAGATCTTTATCAAAATAATACATAACATATATTGTACAAATCAAGGGATGAACCAAATTCATCTATCAAGTCTTTCAAAACTTCAACGGATGCTTACTAGCATCAATATAATACAAGGGATGACATTCCTGACAAAACAAGGGAATAATCGACCCGAAATCGATTAGACAAACCCACCCGTACAAGACTGTCGGTGGCAAGGGAGATATCTCAAACAAGGGTACTAGTTGCATTATAGTCTCCTAGCACTAAGGACTTTCCAAGAATGTCATCAAAACAAGATAATACTTGATACAAAACTAGGAATAATCATTCATACTTGATCAAACACTTTTCCAAAACAAAGCAAAGCAAAGCATTATCAAAACATTATAACATAGCTTGATTAAAAATACCACTCACATAGCTCTTCGGGTGTAGGGATTAAGGCAAGAATCCAAGGCCTACAAGTACATAATAAATCTCATTGAATGCATTTCAAGAAGACAAGAAGAGATGCTCAAAGATGGATATGAAATGCATCCTTAGAACAAGCTTTACATGAGTGTAAATGATCCCGACATTTCTTTCAAAACTAAGTCAAGACAAAGCAAAACATGTGCTAGGAATTAAAACACTGTTTCTCATTTCGGGAAAACATGCTGGGTACCAACCAGGTCTTGGCCGAGGTCCCACACCTCTTGGCCGAGGTGTGGTCTCCTAGGCCTGGTGCGAGATCTAGGCAAGAGTGGGTCTCAGCGACCACACTTAGGGAAATGAAGTCTGGAAAATTTGGGTTTTCTCTTGAAAAACACGAAGAACATGAATGTCAAAATCATAACTTCTTTATCAAAATCTGAGATTTCATGAGATGAGTTAAAAAACATGGACCTGGGTAGCCATACTTAAAGATTCCAAGAAAACAAACACAAAAACATGGATCTTGATACAAACTTTCGGATCAAAATATGGTTTTCTTCCAAGAACAGAAGAACATCATTTTCTCTTTCCAAAACCAAACTTTAAATCAATGCATGGCTCATGAACCATGCTAGATCGTACAATGTGATCAGATCAATATAAAGAACAACAAGAGTAGATCAAGAATCTAATTTCAAAACACGGATCTAACGGTTCAAGGTGTGAAGATCAAGCTTGGAAATTTAGTTCTCTCTCTAAGAACTTCCTCTTTCCTAGAGCTTCTCTCTCTCCAAGGCTAGGATATGACAAAATGATATGGGTTTCTCAGCTAGTACCTGACTTAACCCTCTGCTGGGACATGTGGCAACGCCAGATTGGATCTCCTCAAAAGGGTGACAGAATGACAAGACAAGAGTATGACAAAGTATGTATAACAAGCAAGGTGACAAGGGCACTCTGACAAGGCAATGACCTCGGATCAAGACATAGGCTTCGACAAGTAAGGTCTCAATGATTTCGGCTAGGAAGGATAACACTTGACTTAGCTGTGCCACACCTCGGTCTAGGTCATGCCAGTCCAGGAACAAGATCACTAGGTGCAAGGATCAAGGATGTTGGTTGCCTAGATGATAACACCTCGGCCTAGATGATACACATTTCGGCCTAGGTGATGCACACCTCGGTCTAGATGATGACATCTCGACCAATACGCCAGGGTGAAGGTGGAGGTTAACCAAGGTGGTCCCAAGATGGTCCTAAGTATAAGAGGTTTAAGGGTGTGATCTAGGCTACGCACACCAAGCAAGAAACAAAGCATACAAGCGATACTCAAGCAAATCACATAAGCACAAAACAAGACAAGGACCTTTACTTTAGGCAAAGCAAGTCAAAATCTACATATGCAAGCTAAACAAAACAAAATCATGCAGATGCACATGAACATGGCTAAGACGAGGACGAGGGTCATTACAGTCTACCCCCTTTAAAGAAGTTTGGTCCCCAAACTTAAGTTACCTTGCCCTGAAAACAACTAGGGATGGCAATTTGAAACCGGCCCGATGGAGACCCGATCCCCCGACCCCGAATTGAGCTGGTTTTCCCCGAAAAATACCCCCGACGGGACGGGGATGGTATTTAAAAATCAATCCCCGAACATATTTGGGCCAGGGACGGGGATCAGTGTCCCAACCCCGTACCCGGCCCGGCCCCGTCCCCGATCCCCAACCCGGTTTATCCCCGATATTAAATTACGATTTTACCCTTATATTTAAATTACGATTTTACCCTTACATATATATATATATATATATATAAAAGCCACTGACTAAGCCACTGACTTTACCCTTTTTATATATATAAACCAACCACTGACTTTGACCTTCAGATCTCATCTCTCTCTCTTCTCTACACCGTCTCCGTCTCTCATCTCCCTCTAGCTCACTGGCTTCTCTCTCTCTCTCTCTCTCTCTCTCTCTCTCTCTCTCTCTCACAGATCCACCGCCACCACACCGCGTCTCTCATCCACTCCCTCCCTTCTCGACGTCGCCGACCACCACCGCCGTCTAGCTCGTACCACCACCACCACCACCACCGCTCACAGATCAGTTTTCTGAATTTTTTTTTTTCAGATCAGTTTCACAATTTTTGTTTTTGTTTTTGTTTTTAGATCTGTTTCAGATCTCATCTATCTCGGATGATGGTTGTATTTTCTAATTTTTTTTTTCAGATTTGTTTCACAAATTTTTTTTTTGTTGTTTTTAGATCTGTTTCAGATTTGCCTCGAATGATGATGATGTTGTTGTATTTTCTGAATTTTTTTTTCTTTTTTTAAGCCGGGGAATGCTCGGGGTCAGGGAAACCCGATCCCCGTTAGGGGCGGGGGTGGGGGCAGTGATAGGTTTCCCGTCGGGGATCGGGGCTGGGTCGGGGAAAATTTGACCATCGGGGATCGGGGACGGGGAGGGTGATCCCCGGCCCCGCCCCGGCCCGTTGCCATTCCTAAAAACAACTTTGGATACCAGATTTTCACTTCCTCTTCCATTTCCCATGTAGCCTCTTTGCCGTAATGCTCATTTCATTCAATTTTCACCATCGGTATCGACTTATTCCTCAACTGTTTCACTTACCTATCAATAATTCTCATCGGCTTCTCCTCGTAGCCTAAATCTTCATTAACCATAATTCTGGAATAATCAATCACATGTAGTGGGTCCCAAATATACTTCCTCAACATCGAAACATGAAACACATTGTGGACTTGGCTTAATTCTGGCGGCAAAGCAAGCCTGTAGGCAATGAGGTTAACTTTCTCAAGAATTTCGAATGGCCCAATGTATCGGGGTGCTAGCTTACCTTTCTATCCAAATCTTGAAACTCCTTTCATCGGTGAAATCTTCAGGAATACATGATCCCCAACTTCAAATTCTAATTCCCTTCTTCTCTGGTCGGCATAACTCTTCTATCGACTCTTAGCGGTTTTGATTCTTTGCTGAATGAGCTTAATCTTCTCAGTTGTCACTTGAACTAGCTCGGGACCAATCAAAGCTTTGTCTCCTACCTTGGTCCAACATATCGGCGATCTGCACTTCCTTCCATACAAAGCTTCATAAGGCACCATGTCAATGCTAGCTTGATAACCGCTGTTGTAAGCGAATTCCACTAATGGCAAATGCACTTCCCAACTTCCCTTTAAGTCCAATACACATAATCTAAGCATATCTTCAAGTGTCTGAATTGTTCTCTCTGTTTGTCCATCGGTCTGGGGATGGAAAGATGAGCTAAACCTCAACTCGGCTCCCAAAGCTCTTTGTAGACTCTGCTAAAATCTAGAAACAAACTTCGGCTCTTGGTTTGACACAATGGACATCGGCACTCCATGAAGTCTAACAATCTCATTCATATACAACAAAGCAAGTCGATCAGCATTAAAGGTAGTCTTGACAGGCAAGAAGTGTGATGACTTAGTTAATCTATCAACGATAACCCAAATCAAATCCATACCTTTTTGTGTCCTCGACAAACCAATCACAAAATCCATGGAGATGTGTTCCCATTTCCACTCAGGAATCAACAAAGGTCGAAGAAGTCCTGCTGGCCTCTGGTGTTCTACTTTTACTTGTTGACAATACAAACACTGGGATACAAACTCGACTATTTCTCTTTTCATATTTGGCTACCAAAAAGTTTGCGTCACATCTTGATACATCT